TCTGATGTGAAGTCAAGGAACTTGATTATTGGATCATTAGAAGGTGGGAAGAACCGAGTGACAGCGAAAATTTCTTAGAAAAATGTTTAGTTTTAAAAAATGTAAGAAGTTTAAGATGTCTACAGTTTGCTTGAGCACAGTTTTCCTCTTAGTTTTCTTGTTAGCCTCGTCGTGCTTGTAACAAGATTCTCTATAAGGTTATCTCCTATACTTTGAAGGATAGAAGGAAAGGATGTTCAGTGATGCAGGCTTGGGAAAACAAGATCCAACTGGTGGACAAAGACTGCATCTCTTGTGAAAGAACAGAACCCACATAGGCTCTTGCCTGGGTTGTCTTAGATTACCATCTACCTTTCTGGTGCCAAAAAAATGAAAGTTTCTGAAATAGATCATAGTGGTCACAAGTTGGAAACTTTGGCAGAGTGCTCTTGATTCACATGTTTGAAGAAGAGCTAAGATAATACACATATAATGTCCTTCTAGTCATAGTGAATGACAATATAGTGGCGTGGAAATATAGGATCACGTCTTTCCAAATATTGACCGTGTCTAGACATTTAGGTTTAATTATTAATATGAAGAGATGAGTAAGGAAGATTTTATTCTTCATTCATAGTACTAGGGCGAGCGGCTTAGATGGAGTAAATGCTACAAGAATTCCATGATTGTAAGTACTGCCAAGTTATAAAGTTTCAAATTGGTGATTGGGCTAACTTTATTTTATGGAAATTTCGGGCAGTTAATGACAAAAGATAAAAATGAGGATTTTACTCTGAATGTGTGGCCAATCTAGAATAGATAAATAAGGCACAATGATATATTGATAAATTGAGGATAAGTTAATGAATGGATGATGTAGATGGTTGAGGCATGTCTTGCAATGATGTAAAGAAGCTTTCATTCATGTAAGGTGGTATCAATAGAACATGTTGGGAGATAGAGAAGTTGACTAAAAGTAAAATGCTTGATGTGGTCGCGAGAAGTTTAATTCCATGGACCTTCCAGTAGATGTAGCTTTGCTTTGGATCAAACAGTGTGGGGAGAAAGGGATCTATCCAGTTCCAAGTTTTATGAGGGATAAGATTTAGCTTCTTGTTCTTATCTAGTCTTATCATAGCTGTTGGATTGTAACTCTTAGTGTAAATATAGCAGGTGCACCGACTTGTTGCAATTTTTTTGATAAGTATCTTGGTAGCAAAATGTTAAACTAGATTTAGGTGCTACCATCATGATTCCTGAAAGAGGTAAAGCTTTAGCCTTCCTTATAAATGTATTGCCAGTTCTAATTTTTCTTTCTGTCTTCCTCAATTCTGTTCGTATCTATATGCTACCGCCTGATTCAATTGTAATTTGTTGTGTGTTTACTATATGGATTGCTTTTCTTTTCCAGCTGGGTGCTCTGATGGAAGCTGTATTATCTGGGATTTTGAAACCAGAGGCATTGCCAAAGAACTCAGGGACAAGGATTGTGTTGCTGCCATAACAAGCGTTTGTTGGTCAAAGTATGGTCATCGCATACTTGTGTCTTCTGCGGATAAATCATTGACACTTTGGGATGTTGTCAAAGGTGAGAAAATAGCTCGAAGAACACTACCACAAACCCCATTGCAAGCTCGTCTATACCCTGGTTCCTCTACTCCATCTATTTGCTTAGCCTGTCCCTTCTCATCAGCACCCATGATTGTTGACATGAGTACAGGAACCACAACGGTACTTCCTGTGTCATTATCTATTACAGAAAACGGGGTTGTCCCTCCCCCACGTAACAAGTTTTCTGATGGATCTGCCCCTTTTAGTCCTACTGCGGCATGCTTTAACAAGTATGGCGATTTGGTTTATGTTGGGAATTCCAAAGGGGAGATACTTATTATAGATCATAAGAACGTCCAAATATGCGGTATTGTTCCAATTCCTGGGAATGCTGTAATAAAGAATATGGTATTTAGCAGGAATGGACAGTATCTTCTAACAAACTCGAATGATCGGACAATTAGAATCTATGAGAACCTTTTGCCATTGAAAGGAGGACTTAAATTCTTGGAAGAATCGAATCATGCTGGAGATGAACAAGATGGGTTTGAAAAGGTGAAAGCTGTGGGATCAAGATGTCTAACTCTGTCTCGGGAGTTTCAGGATTCCATCACCAAAGTACACTGGAAAGCACCATGTTTTAGTGGTGATGGCGAGTGGGTTATTGGCGGATCTGCCAGCAAGGGAGAGCACAAGATCTACATATGGGACAGGGCTGGACATCTTGTAAAAATCCTTGAAGGTCCAAAGGAGGCACTAATAGATTTAGCATGGCATCCTGTTCACCCTATTATTGTTTCTGTCTCCTTGACTGGCTTGGTTTATATCTGGGCCAAAGATTATACTGAGAATTGGAGTGCATTTGCTCCAGACTTCAAGGAGCTAGAGGAAAACGAGGAGTATGTAGAACGAGAGGACGAATTTGATTTAATGCCAGAAACTGAAAAGGTCAGATGGACATTTATGGGCAGAATTGCTTTCTTTTCTTCCTTTTCCACACCTGTGTTAAACATGTTTGCGTTGTTGCAGGTGAAAGAATCTGATGTCGATGAAGATGAAGAGATTGATATAATGGGAGTTGAAAAAGACTCGGCTTTTAGTGATTCTGATATGTCGCAGGGTGAGATATGCTTCTTGCCTGCTGATCCATCCCCAGATCTTCCTGAACCGCAGGACAAGTTTGTAGGAAGTACTTCAAAGCAGGGGGACAGTAACCAGTCTGCATCTGCTCTTTCAGAAGAGGCTGGACAAAGTGCTCGTCTAACAAGCTACATATCCACCCCACTTGAAGGTAACATTACCGTTCCAAGTGAATCCAGTCAAATTTGTTATCAGTTCTTATCACTGAATTTCAAGGACGAGGTTGCTATCACACTTATAATTGAAGGTGGAACTTTTACGTTAAGTATATATCGGTTAAATGTTGTCTAATGGATATAAGACCAACAACAGTAGATTAAACTTTTCAACCCATATGCACACCCTAGCTGGAATTGTTTTACGTCGTTTCTGGTTTATCTGGCTTTAATTCCTCTCAGATCATTTTGAAGAAAGCAACAGTTCTATTATAGAAATGAAAGAATTCTTGTTTCCCACCCCAAGAATTCAATTTCACGTTGGCAAGTAATTAGTTTCCAACTTATATGCTTCTTTTGTATTTTATGGATGAGCTTGAATGATGCAGAATCATTTACTTAAATAAATTGATGGAATTTCTATCAACAATTCTATTCATTAGGCCCTTTTGACGCTTTAGTTATTGCTGAATCGTTTTTCCATAAGTGGACAGGCTCGCTTTAGTTTTTTGAGAAGCCTTTTGATGTAGAACGTCACACAAAAATAGAAATAGGGAAGAGAAAGTGAAGAAATAGCATAAAAGTTTAGGGGGGAATAATATCAATTTTTAATCATCAATCAAAGACTGGTTATGTACATGCTTGTCGAAGCATATAATTGTTTATAAACAGTGGGTCCCAAGGAATATGTGGATAAACCATAAAGTTTAACCACTTTATAAGCAAGTTTTGACAAACATGCACGTTAATCCTAGGTCCTATTTGTAAAGTCTTTAGCATAAATCTAAAACAACTTCTAGTCGAATAACTACTACTAAATGATAAAATCCTATCCAATAAAACTACTACATTTTTATTCAAATCAAGCTATATCTTCAATCCTCATTCTCATTTCAATTCGAATTGCTTTTGTACATGAGCGTGATTGTCATTCGTTGTGCACATTCACGACTTTTTTGTAATTATATCAACTCCACTGCATTTGCTTGTAGCATGTTTGGAAGGGAGGATTTGATACTCTTATCAAAAAAAAAAGGGAGGATTTGATACTAGACCGTATCAAGAATGAAAAAAGAAGCTAAAATTTTGTTTGTTGTCTTGTCTGATAGTTTTAGCAATATAAACTTTTATCTTGTGTGTAAAGGTTATTGACAAAAGGACATAATATTGGGTATAGACTTCTCATTACAATAATGCTATCTGGTAGGATCTTTGGGTACTCAGTCTTTTAAGATATTGATGACTTTGCTATTGAATTTATATTTTCTCCCTTTTGCATGCATATAAAAACGGAAATGGCTTTGGAAGGTAAATTTGAAGGTCCAAGTACAATCTTTTGGGACCGGTTTCTAAAAATACTCATACCATGTGCATTATCTCTATCCTTCCATTTTTCTGTATCATGTGCATGCTGAAGTATTGATGTTTTATTTGTACTCGGTTGTAGCAATGGACAATTCTGCTGCAGAGGACAATGGAGGAACAAGTTCAACAAGAAAGAGGAGGTCTTCAGAGATGGTGTAAGTTTTGCAGGTAGAGAATCTTGAGACATTGGAAGCATGGTGTTACTCATCAAATTCTATAATATTATCTGAAGTTGCATAATTTATTAGTCCTATGTATTTGTAGATCATGTTAAGTTCGATTCTCAAGACAAATTGCGCGCAACCTAATAGTTGTCAATTTTTGGAAAAAAATTGCAGATGCTTTTGATGGGAGCATTGTTTTTAGTTTAGACAAAATTGGTTTCTTTTTTTGAATGCTTACAAGTTACGTCTTAATGCTTGCTTGGTAGTGCTTATAAGTTGTGGATCCTACATAATGTGTGGATAAAATGTATACTAAGTTGGGGGTTCTACAAATGTGTGGATAAAATGTATGTTTGTTTTTGCTAAACATGTTCTTAATGATATTTTTGTCAAAATAAAATTTCGATTTAACAAAATATTTTCAAAATTTTAGCAGAAAAGTGTTACCTCGGGGAGAAACCATTTCTATTGTTATTTTGATAAACTAGTAGAATTAACGGTATGTAATTTTGTCGGCCTCAAACTTTATTGTAATATTAGCAGAAATGATAATTCGTTGCTTTTTTATACACACAATTAATTTGTTAATTACTGGAATTGAATATACAGGCATATGTATCTGTACATTGTATAGTATATATTTTAGCTAATGTTTAGCATTTTGAGATCCAAAGTTGTAGGCGACATAAGCACTTAGTCCGACAATAACAAGCAGTGCTGCCCCCATGTTCACCAGCAATTGCCTCTCATCATTCAGCTCGCCAATCCCTTTCCTTGCTTTCTTCTTGTACTTTTTCTGTTCCACTTTCAAAGTGCCATGATCAGGAGAATTATCAGTTGCACTTGATTTGGCAATTTGATCATGATGTTTTTTAGATATTCTCTCTGATTTGATCTTCCCATGATCTTCAGTTATTTCTTTACCTATTCCCACATGATCCTTCAATAGTGCTGTTTCTGGTGTAATGCGTCTCTCTTTGGTTTCTTGGATTCCCTTCTTCTCGATATAACTCTTTTGTTCATCTTCCTGTTGTCCAGTTCTAGTACTCTGATGATCGTCGGACGTTCTCTTTCCTAGTTCCAAACTTTTGTCATCAACGATCTTCTTCGTTGCCTCGTCCACAATATTTTCTTCTGCAGAATGTTTTTTTGTCAGTTCCGGACTTTTCTCCTTCTCTATACGACTCTTTTCTTCATCTTCTTGTCGTCCAATTTTCATCCTTGGATCATCACCTGATGTTTTCTGAATCCCTGGAGCTGGAGCTGAACTTCTGTCATCTGTTATCGGCTTGCTACTACCAATTGCCGGACTAACTTTATCTTGGCCGTGCTGATCAAGCGCAGTGTCCCTGGGAGATTTCATGCCTGTAGTTTTAGGAGGACGGACTTGATCTTTAGCTTTTGGTAGAGGGCTGAGGGTTTCTTTAGCAAGTGTTATACCAGCTGCAATATTCTTTTTTGGGACAGTAATGGCTAGAGTTCCTCCATCGTGCTTTGCACGAATTGACGTCAGTTCGCTGTTATCCGGAACCTGGAAGTCCTCCCGGAAACGACTCCATTTGTTGGCAACCGGGCGTTCTCCACGAACCCTAATGAGATTCCGGTCTTCGGTTGAAACTTTGAGTTGCTCCTTCATGAAACCTACAGGGGAAACAAGGTAGATTTATATCATAAACTCCCTTAATACGGGGCCTAATTTTTCTTCACTAGCCTTTTAGAAGTGTAAATCTGGTCAGGCCTAAGAGGACTTTCTTGGCTAGCTTTGGTGCCAACTGGGGCTGACAAACAACTCCCGATCTTTGCTTAAGACATAATATCGATTTAAAAGAACGAAATAAGTCTAGGACTTACCAGGAACTTGAATGGTGAGAATGTATGTATCATTGTCTTGTGACCATTCCGAAGGAGGTTTAAAATCTTCATAAATTGGTCGGACACCACCCATTGGTGATCGATACGGTGTTGTACCACCACCACGTCTATGCCTCGGTGTTGACATTCCTACCACTACAAACTCTCTCTTCTCGAGTTTAATATGTTATATTAGTTTCTCTATGATCAAACTTTGATATCTGTAAATATTGTTTGATTGCCTCAACTAATTCTTGGTATTTAAACAATTTTTTTTTTCGCTTTCTTTTCTTAAGAATGAGACCATTCCAATTTTATTGCTTCCATAGTTTGTTTCTATTGAGTTTGGTTTATCCCAAGTATATCTTACTGTGAAGATAAAGAAAAGTCAAAAAGTTTTGTTTGGCCTACAAGCTTTTCCAGATGCCAAGGGTGACTGCTTCAAAATGGACATGCATTGACAATTCTTCAACATGGCTTGACGTCGATTCTTGCTAGCATTAATCTTAATTATATGTTTTCTTGAAATTAATCCACTGATGTGGTCGTTTTGATGAAGGCAATTTGAACACTTAAACGTGTTTGATTGATTGCTCATACAACATTCATTTATGTTCCCATCTTACTTTTTTACTTGGACGAGATGGGAAGTTAAGCCCTCGTTTGGCACCCATTTTTTTCTCATTCTCATTTTTTTTTTCTTTCTTCATTTCAACCACACATTCTATTAATAAAATAATATTACAAATAAACCTAAAAATTCTCATTACTTTTTAACCACATATTCTTCCATCAATCACTATTCAAAAACATATTTTTCTACTAAAATGGGTGTCAAACACCTCCTAAAACACGATAATTCAAGGTGGGTATTCTCGTGTTTTTATTATTATTTGAGAATATTTTGGATAAGTTTTTAAATTTTGACTTTTAAATATTTATTATTTGATTTGAGTAATACTCACTACTCGTATTACTTTAATGTTTTTCACGTCTGCACTTGTATCTTTATTTAACTATGGCAGCAGGGACTTGTTTGTTTTTTATTCTCAAATTCTACAGTAAATCAAATCTCATTTTCAATCACACATTTTTCAATAAAATAATATTTTCCATCACATCAATAATTTTTTTATTTTTTCAACCATACATTTCCCATCAAATTACTATTCAAAAATCAATTCTTCCCCCCAAAAATCTCTATCAAACAAGCACCTACTAAAGCTTCAAATAAAATATTGTAGATTCAACTGTACATCTTTTGATTGAGATACAATAATTTCAAAATAATTTAAGAGGGTATTTCAGTAAATTTAGTCTCTCTTGCATTACTCATTAGTCGTTAACCATAATAAGTCCACCCCCACCGTTTTTTATTTAATTGCACTAAGGGTGCGTTTGATTGCAAGGGTGGAAAATGGGTGGAAAGAAAATGATTTTTAGGGAAAACAATTGCCTAGAAAACTCAAGGCTCCAGTTGGTTAATAGATTCCAACTGTAAATCTCCAACTGAGGCTCCTGCAGCAATAGATTATCTTCCAACAACTTTTTTTGCAATAGCTAAGGATGTCTGATTCTTTTTCAAGAATCAATTTTCTTTACAGAAGATGAAAGAAGCTTAGAAGAAATTAGCTATATCATCAAATATGTAATTAATACTCCTGTTACACTATATCAAAAAAAAATCAAAGTTAGCTAACTTGTAGGATACTTTTTAAAATTATAATTTTGCATACACATTTCACCATATAAATAAGTTTTTTTCTTGTAAATTTTCGATGTGGAGCTCGGCGCCCCTCCAATGAGGAGGCGCCACTTGGCCATTATGTCACTTTTTATGTAATAATGAGTGATGTACAAGAAGCATAATTCTTCTAACAATACATAAGACACTTAAAGTTGACTTATCAACTTATGGGTCTCATAAATTTTTCAATTCACTCAAATTAATTGTAATTGATTATATCATTAATTATCACATTTAATAATTTAACATACTTAAATTCAATTGATTCCAATAAGTACACGCATATACATATACTTGTGTCTAATCTCACTTCATATACAATATGTAGTAAGAAACTTGTTCTTCTAAGAAAGAGATATTTGCAGAAAAAATGGAAGCGGCTTTGAGGGATATGGGATTTGATAAATCCAGGGCTGGACATGGTCCGATTCCATTCGATTCGGTTCGATTCGATTTTATTCGATTCTCGAATTTCGCAAAATAATTAAATTTTTTATATTTACAAGTTACAACAACACAACATTAATTCGATTATGACATGTTCAATATTAACTCTTACAAAATAATGTAGTCCAATATGATAATATAGTTTGCACATTTTTTTGTTGAGTTCTTCATAAATTTGAGAAGAGGAAGATAGCAAGTTCACAATAATATAACGGCAGAAACGACACTACAGTAGAATAAAAGATTTGGGTAAAATTTAGGTCAATTTGATTAAGTTGAGTTTGGATAAAAATTGAAAATAGTAAAATTATATTTTAGGTTTAAGCCAAGTTAATTAGTTAACAAATTCATTTAAAAAAATAAAATAATTTGACTTATTTAAAATAAAAAATTAAAAAAATTAGGGAGATTTAGTTTTTCGGTTCTAGGTCTAGAACCGAAAATTGAATCAAACTCGTTGGTTCTTGATTTAGATATTCGTTCGGGTATTTAATTGAAGAAGGATCGTTCGGTTCGGTTCGGTTCGATTCGAGAGTTTTGTCCAACCCTAGATAAATCAATGATAGCACTGCGTCCTGGACTTGGTCTGGGACTTCGAGAAGCCTCACCAATCGTCACGGGCGTATATTCGTGACGAAAGGCCATGAAGTCGACACCTGCAGACGTGAGTATCTGAATTCTTAACACTTCGTAGTGGACATGCCGAGACTAAAATCGAACCAAATCAAGGTGCATTTGGAGGATGACAACACACGGCGATGAGCGGCAAACGCATGCCCGACCCTAGCCTAAGGCAAATGAGGCCATTGCCTTGAGGGCCTAAAAAAAAATAAAAAAAATTCAATAGCCTAATAAAAGTTTTATTTTATATTTCTTTGAGTTGGACTAATTTAGTCTTTTAAAAAGCAACAACAAAATGAAACTAAATAAGATGTTCAAAATAATTGAACACTTAACTTGCATTCTTGATTTAATGAAAAAAATGGACATGCAATTAAAGTATTACCTAGTGCTATATATTTTTTTTTTCTATCTACCAAAATCTAGAAAAAAGTCCATGCAAAAATAAAAAATAAAAAATATTCCCTATAGTCTTTTTGCTAAGCTTATAAAGTTTCTTTAAAATTTATAAATTAATTTTTATGAAAGTTAAAAATAAGTTTTTTATTTTAAAAGTGTTCATTTTATTTATATTTAAGAATCACTGATGAGTGAAATTAACTTATTAAACAAGTTCCTTTAAATCGTAGTTTTTAGTTTGTTCTTGAACACTTTTGAGTGTTTTGATGTGTGTGTTTGTATTGTTTTGTAGTTGGACAAATTGGATGAAAACAGAGTGGTTTGGAGTTTGAAATAGAGCTATAATAATGATCATGGAAGGAGGTATGACATGGAGATGAGGGAAGAGAAGAATGAAGAGAGAATACCAAAAGATTAGCAAAATAAATAGAGAAGAAGAAAAAAAATGCAGAATGCTGGGTGGCTAGGCGCCACATTTGGGCGAGCGACAAGGCACCCAAAAATAAAAAAAAAATTCAGAACAACTGAGGGTGTAGAATACACCTCGGGAAGTGAAAAGAAAACAAGTTTGGGGGTGCATGAATCTCACGAGCGAAGTAAGGAAATATTTTACACCTTGGGGAGTGAAAAGAAAACAAGTTTGGGGGTATATAAATCTCACGAGCGAAGTAAGGAAATATTTAACTTTTAAAGTCGAAAATTGAATCAACTTATTATTGTACAGCATTGCACTTAACTCTCCACACACACACGTTTTGCAATGAATACGTGAAATTTTAGCTTGAGCATTATAATTTTGAAGTGATTCATGAAATTGATATTATGTTTTCAATCCTGAATTATGAAGGTAAGATATCTAGCGGAATTTGTTTTAAGTGATTTTGTTTGATTAATTTTCGTTTGGAGTTTCATTAGTTATTTTATAGAGTTTTATATTTGCTCGATGATAAGCAAAGAACTAAGTTTGGGGGTGTTTGATGAGTGAAATTAACTCATTAAACAAGTTCCTTTAAATCGTAGTTTTTAGTTTGTTTTTGGGCACTTTTGAGCGTTTTAATGTGTGTTCATGTTGTTTTGTAGTTGAACAAATTGGATGAAAATGGAGTGGTTTCGAGTTTGAAATAGAGCTATGATAATGATCATGGAAGGAGGTATGACATGAAGAGAGGGAAAAGAAGAATGAAGTGGAGAGAATATTCTCTATAGTTTTTTTGTTAAGCTTATAAAGTCTCTTTAAAATTTATAAATTAATTTTTGTTAAAGTTAAAAATAAGTTATTTATTTTAAAAATGTTCATTTTATTTATATTTAAGAATCGCGTAACAATTTATCGCCCAAGACCTCATAAATCAGCACTGGGCAAAAGGCGAAGAGAGAAAGAGAAAGAGGCAGTAAAATATGTGAAGATGGAAAGGAGGTTCTGGAAATTGTTGAAGAAATTTGTGTTGTCGGAAAATGTGAATATAGAAAGCATTTCTGCTTTTTATGAAGCTGGGGTGCTGACTGTTAGAGTAGAGAAGATGCCACCGCCGGAGCCGAAAAAACCAAAGGTGATTGAAGTTAAGGGCGGGGCGGAAGGCGTGGCTGAGGTTAAGCCATGTTTGATATACATTTTTTCATAATATATATATTTTTTAGAACTCATTTTCAACCACACATTATTCAATAAAATAATATTTTTCATCACGTCAATAACTTTTCCTTACTTTTTAACCACATATGTCACATCATATCACTATTTAAAAAATATTATTTCCTCAATAATATCCATCAAACTCCCCCTAAAACTAATTGACATGAAACTGAAGAGTCATGGGGAAGATTTGAATAATGCATGAGGTTTTTGTACCAAGACTGCTGCTATTTTTTTGGTTTAGACATTGATTCGACTTTCATCTTCGTGTTATGTTTGATGTTCACGTGTCAAGTTTTTATGTGAATATGCAAGTAAGTTTCTCTTTCTTTGTTTCTTGGTTGTCCAAATTATGTGTAGAAACATGAGAATTATGCCAAAGTTACTGCAATAAAATCGAATTACGTTGGATCTTCTCTACACGGGGATGATAATCTTTCACAATGGTTGTTAAAAGGCATATTTAGCCCTTTGTCGGAGGATTAAAACAAAATTCTTTAATTTTTATATTTGTTTTTAACCGCGTATTCACATAATAAAATATTTTATATCTAAACTAAATTTTTTTTCTACTTTTTAACAACATATTTTTCAAAAAATTACTATTCAAAATATTATTTTTTTATGAATAATGGCAATCAAACAGGGACAACCATTATTTGAAAAAGCATGCTATATGTACAATTTTTATTGACAACATTGGTTAACATCCTACTTTGCAGTTTCACATTTACCTATTTTAAAAACTTTTTTTACATTAGAGATTTGAATTTTGACAACACATAGTTGTCAACCAAGATTGTCTTGACAACCATGTTTGTACAACTAACTTTATTGTTATTTGAAGACATTTTCTCTATATACTTATTTTCAATTGCACATCCACAAAATAAAATATTTTTTACGAAAATATAAATTTTTTCTCTATTTTTTTAACTATGTATTTTCCTGAAATCACTATTCAAAACATATTATTTTGACGAAACAATGACTATCAAATAGGTGCTATCTTGGCTTCAACAAATTAGAAATAGTCTCTCTTTGGTTCAAAAAATAAATTGATTAAAATTTAAACAAAATTAATAATTAATCTATTTTTATATTTTATAAGATCCATAAATTTTTAAACACACATTTTATTATATTTCATCAAAATTTACTAAAATTTTAAATTTTATCTAACCCAAACAGTAGTATTGAGTTCTCTCATTTAAGGGTGCGTTTGATTGCAAGGGTGGAAAATGGGTGGAAAGAAAATATTTTACAGGGAAAATGATTTCAAGTGTGTCTGATTGGTATAATTTTCCACCCGAAAAATTTTTAAATTTTATATTCGTTTGGATTTATTTTACATGAAAATTATCCATTAAAGTGATTTTTTTTCCACAATTAGTTATAAAACTTGTACCCATTGCCAAAAAGTAAAAAAAAAAATGAAAAAAAAATTGTTTTCTAAAAAATCATTTTTTTAATCAAAGTTCAGTGTTCGTTTGACTTTGTTTTACATGAAAATTGTCAATTAAAGTAAAATTTTTTTTAACACTTGGTTATAACATTTGTTTCTATTGCCAAAAAAAAAAAAAAATTTACAGCCTCATGGAAAATTTTTTCCCACCATCCAAAACAAGGAAATATGGCGCGTGGGGGGTTGGGGGGGAAATTTTTTCCATGGAAAATTATTGTTATCAAACAGCCAAAAAGTGGGAAAACGAAAAATATTTTTCATTTTCCATGGAAAATCAAGGCCATCAAACAGGCCCTAAGTTTTAATTGTAATGAAGAATTTTAATCTTTGTTCATTTTTACTCTTATATGTTCAATGTCACATCATTATCTTCAACTTATAAATTAACACATATTGTTTCTGAGAACGGTTTCATTAAAAAAATAAAAATCGTTAAGATGATATAAAAATTTGTATTTTTCCATCACATTTTAAAGTAGAAAAAAACAATAAATATAAAAGTTCAATAAAATATTTATCACTATTTCAAAGAACGTTAATATTATATTTGGATAGAAATTATCATCGGAGACAACAATATGTACTATAAATATAAGTATGCCATGAAAAACTTTTGGGGCATAAATGCAAAAGTGGAATTTTTTTTTTTATTACAATTAATGTCTGATTTATGATTTTTAATCAACATGTTAAATACGATCCAATACACTTTACATCTTTACGTAAAATTAATTAAATGACGAGAGATAAATAGTAAATATGCATGATTTACGAAGACGAGTGAATATTACTTTTTATAAAGAGTTACTTTTTTAACACTTTATTCCTTCATCTTTTCAACTTGAAAAACCTTTTGGTACATAACTTTTATTAGATTCAAAAGAATTGGTAATTAAAGAGAAAAATAGCCCTAGTGATGGCTATTTTTTGGAAAAATATTGGTTTGAATAATGCAATTTTGGAAATTGTAAGGTTAAAAAATATAAATTTTTTTTTTTGAATTTTCGTATAGAATATTTTATCGTGTGAATGTATAGTTAAAAATAAGTACGTAGAAAAAAGAGTATTGAATAGAAAATATGGGCATAATAATTAAAGAATATGATACATATTAAATAGGGATAATTGCAGCAGCGGTCCCAAACATATCACCTTTTTATAGATTTTACCTTAACCTTCACTTTGTACTACCTACAGTCCCAAAGCTTTCAAAAATTAGCACCTGAGGTTCAAATGGATGATTTCTGTTAGTTTGACCGTTAGTTGACCAAGAATAATAGACTTTGACCAATTTTGACAAAATTAAAATGCACAAAATGATAACTATACAATTTTCTCATTAAATAGAAAAAAAATACCTCTCTTCCCTTCCCCAAGTAAAATAATGACGGCTCGGTTGCATAAGAATCCAATTGCAAGCATTATTTTACTATCGACGGTCAAGATGACAGTGTTCAAACCAACAACACAGTCGCTACTCACCAACGACGAGAGCCGCCCAAGGTTTCATCCACTCGTTTCACTTACGTCGAAATTCTTGTGCGTTCATCTGGGTTTAACCGCGAGTTAGCTGTGGACGCCTTTTCCAAATACGTTAGTTGGCTATTGATAGGTTTGAGACTGCTGCTGCAATTATCCCTATTAAATATTTATAGAAGAGTGATGCTATGGGTATATAATTTTTATTCACGGGAGTTCGCATAACACTCACATGGGGTGGGACCCACATAAACCACACACGAGTGTTACGTGAACCATTATGGCAAAAAATTATGTAACATTAGCATTATTCTTTACGGAAATATAAAGGGTATAAATGCCATTTCACGACATACAAATCGCCCAACCACGTTCTCACAGAATCTAACAGACCCACTCTGCCACTCGCCTTTACGGCTTTACCACTACTGCCCAGAGAAGGAAAAATACACACAATATAAATGTATCTCAATTCTCCACTGTCCAATCACCATTTTACCAGTTATTTCATTTTTGCGGGTACCCATTAAAGATTTAACTTGATACCTGTACTGCTGCTGTTCCTGCAGTGAAGCTGATAGTATGATGTGTGGAAGAGTTTGGATTGTGTGGGTGGTGATTATGGTTTTGTGGTGGGGTTGCAGAAGAACTATGGGGGAGGTCGAGGAGTATATGATGTACAAGGATGCGAAACAGCCAATTGGAGTCAGGGTGAAAGATCTACTTGGTAGAATGACATTGGAAGAAAAGATTGGACAGATGGCTCAAATTGATAGGACTGTTGCCACTGCTGATATCATGAAGAATTACAACCTTGGTAATGTCAGTATAAACAGTAAAATAATTGGGTGTTTTACATGTATTTGAACATAAATTGATTTTCTAATATAAATGTGGTGTTTAAGATCGTTTTCTCGTTTCCATTTTCTACCTTTGATGGACTAAAGTCTCTAAGATAAATGAGATTTCTGCATTTGGTTTTTGCGTGAATCTGTGTGTACGTTGTGTCAACTTAGGCACTGATGAGGTCGGGGTTAAATGTGGGTTTTGTTTTTATCATGCGGGTAGATGTCGCTGAAAAAACTCAAAAGAGTGCGATTTGCGGTACTCAAACTGGGATTGGAAATGAGACTTGCATATTTTGCTGACAGTTGGATAGGTTCTTGAAGTTTCTTTTTTTATTTATACATAAAAAATTCTTTGCTTAGCCAAATGAAATTTTGTAGAACATTATCTTGCATGTTTGTACTACGGTTATTGTTTTGATGAATAAATAATTTCAAATACCTAGAGTTCAACTCCTCTGATGAAAAGACAACTTAAGAAATGATGGATGTACTGCAGCAAACTAGCAATTGTTATGTAATTCTGGAAATTACCAATTGATAATGCAGGAGCGGTTTCTGTCCTAGTCAGGGCAATGTATGATACACAACTAGCAAAGTGTAGTTTCCGTGTTCTATAGTTATCCACTTGAAATGGTAGCTTTCTCAGGCTGGCTGCAAACTGGGGTGTATTCCATTTTTGCCTTGGAAATATTGTTGGTATTAACCTTAAAAGGTGGGATGGGAAGTCCTAATATGGTAAGATTAAAAGAAATTATGACGATTTTTCTTTTTGTTAACCTGACTTGGAGTTTGACAAACCTAATATGTTAAAAGATATTAATAACAATTTCTTGTAGTAGTTCAAATTACGAAGTAACACAAGGTTGGATTATTTTGCACTAGGCTTCATCTTCGGAGAAGTTGTCGCCAAAAATACTTCATTAAGAACTGACAGATGGAGCCTTTCAATCTAACTTCCACTTGTTCGTCTTTATTTTGTTTTAGCTCTTTGTCTAAAGAACTGAGTATGATATTGCCACCTTGTGGCTTTGTAAATATATTCTATATAAACTTGAAAAGAACCTACATTTTGCTAACATGCACATTTTGTAGTTGGTTATATATTGCAATGTAAGAAATGAAAATAAGGTTCACAATTTCATATTTTTGCCCATTAAGTGGACAAAGAAAGTATGGCTACCTACAAGTTTGTGCAGATTCCAATTGTCTCTAATTTGAATGAATGAGACATGTTCTTATGATATTACTTGCATAATATCAAACATGTTTTGATACTATTCATCAAATGTGTGCGTCTTGTCGATTATAGTTTATAAAAACCTATTTGTCTTGTCATAAGTATAAGACTGCAGGGATATGGTTGTCTTTTAGCAGTGTCTATTAAACGTAAAAGGATAATTAAGATTATGCTTCTTATGAAAGGACTTTTACGTAGGAAGCGTATTAAGCGGCGGTGGAAGTACACCTCTTCCACATGCTACCGCTGCAGACTGGGTTAACATGGTGAATCACTTCCAGAGGGGGTCTTTATCTACACGTCTAGGGATTCCTATGATTTATGGGATTGATGCTGTTCATGGACACAACAATGTCTATAATGCCACCATATTCCCACATAATATTGGGCTTGGGGCTACCAGGCAAGTAATATCACACCCACTAAGTAATACTTCTTGGTACAGCGTCCCTTCTATCTGGCACAGAATTTATATTTGTCTTCAAAAATTTAAATTAGCAATCTTTTCTCATATCATGCATCGAAAGTTTCAAAAGACACCCTTTCAATTTGTTAACTGACGAGCAATTTGGGTGTCATTGCTAGCTGCTTGTTACTGTTGCATGCTTTTATAATTAAAAGAAACACAGTTTTTAAAGTAGAATCTGGCAAACTCTTCTCCCAAACTCTCCTAACAAAATGAGTGGGCTAGTTTTTCCATGTATGTGGAGCATTTTATATGTAAAAACCTCTATATAGCAAGGAACTATATTTTTGATTTCGTAATTGAGTTGCATAACCTTTGGTTAATATTTCTAGTTGTCAGGAGGAAGATTATTTGTTAACTTTTCCTTCAGAGATCTTATAGATCTGGAACAGTGTGCTTCACTTGGTTCTGTCCACTGCATCAGGGACCCTGAACTTTTGCGAAGGATAGGTGATGCAACTGCAGTTGAAGTCAGAGCTACCGGAATTCCTTATGCATTTGCTCCTTGCATTGCAGTAAGTAATAAGTTATTATAAGATCTGCCTTATCCTAAACCTTACAGACTGTAACTACATATATTATATGAGATACCGTCTTCTGAATCCTTATACTGCTCTATTCTTTAGTTTCAGGTTGAGGTTTTTTACAGCTTGGTAATCTTATGCAGGTCTGCAGAGATCCGAGGTGGGGTCGGTGTTACGAAAGTTACAGCGAGGACCCTAAGATAGTTGAAGAGATGACAGACATTATACTTGGGTTGCAAGGTGAAATCCCAAATGGTTCAGAGAAGGGTGTCCCTTATGTTGCTGGAAAGTATGTAATCTATCTTATAAAAGCATCTTCATGGATAAGATTCAATTTAGCAAGCGTAAAGTGTTATTGATTTATTGTGATAAATTGAGCATAACTGTTATTTATTTAACCATTAAATTACTCCAGTCCTATTCTTGTTTAATTGTAAATTAGTTGTATTACCAGCTCTCTTACCGTCTTTGTCAATTGTTATGATAAAAACCTATTAATATTTGTCTAAATTTAGCAGGTTAGAAATCTTACTCGGTATTCATTTTTCTTAATATGTTCCAATCAATATTGTCAGAATTTTATTTCATTTCTGTAGTCATTTTCTCAATCTAATGCTTTACTGATTTTTAAAGGTTCAATCGTGATAGCTGCTTCTTGATAACTTGCTAGACTTTGAACTGGAGACTTTCACTTTTGTTGGCAACTGATTTACCTCTTTTTACTCAGGAACAAGGTAGCAGCTTGTGCAAAGCACTTTGTTGGTGATGGAGGAACGACCAAGGGCATAAATGAAAACAATACTCTGACTGACACGCATGGATTGCTCAGCATTCACATGCCTGCCTACCATGACTCGATTAGTAAGGGTGTCGCAACAGTTATGATTTCTTACTCCAGCTGGAATGGTAAAAAGATGCACGGAAACCATGAATTGATTACTGGATTTCTGAAGGGTAAACTTGAGTTCAAGGTAGGGTCTCAAAAGTGGTAACATCCATGCTTATTTATTTAATTTGCATTCAATGGAGGTGCTATTACTAGTTAAGGTTTTACTTAGTATTATTCACCTAAAGTGGATATGCTTTGCATTGAACACCATGACGGACTCGCTCTTATTCTAAGATTTACATTTGCAATGATAATCTTATCTGTGATATTTCATATGGAGTTCTTATCAAAAAAATATTTCATATGGAGTTACATTACTATTATTACTATTAACTTGATTGATATTGTTCTTCTCTATCTTGTTGCTTTTGTCACCGTTGATATTATTATGCTGAATCAATTCAAACTTTTAACAACTTGAACCATATCACTCATCGAGTCGATTAACTGTCGGGCAAACTACCAGAGCTTGTTTTTGTATACGGTATTAGAATATGATTATCAGTAGAATAGTCAAAATTTAGCTTCTTTTTTCTTGGTAATGTCAAGTGGTGTCTAATCTATCTTATGAAACATGCCATCAGGGTTTTGTTATCTCTGATTGGCTGGGCATTGACAGGATCACCTCTCCACCACATTCAAACTACACTTACTCTGTTCTAGAAAGTGTTCTAGCTGGCATCGACATGGTTAGTGTCTTTTATTTTGCATTATACACCACTGAAGTTGGTCATTTGTTTTCATGAAAGTTCAATATTGAACTCAGGAGGCATAGCTTTGTTTTTTTTACAGATTATGATCCCATACAATTTTACTGAGTTCATAGATGATCTCACATATCTGGTCAAGAAAAACTTTATTCCAATGGAGCGTATTGATGATGCTGTGGGGAGAATTTTGCTAGTCAAGTTCACTTTGGGACTCTTTGAGAACCCCCTTGCTGATCTTAGTCTGGTCAATGAGATTGGAAGCCAGGTAGGTTAAGATTTTCCTTCTCTGAACCTAGTCAATCTTATTTCTAATGCTATAAGTTCTGCTTGCTATATCCTGTAAACACCTACAATGGATAGACTTCCCATTTCTTAGTTTTCTGAGTTTAAATTATTGCTGAGAATGGTCTAAAATATTCTAATGTAACAGGCACACAGAAATTTGGCAAGGGAAGCCGTAAGGAAATCGATCGTTCTGCTAAAGAATGGGAAAAATGCAAATGATTCAGTATTACCCTTGCCTAAGAAAGTGAGCAAGATTCTAGTTGCTGGTAGCCATGCTGACAATTTGGGTTATCAATGTGGTGGATGGACTATAGCTTGGCAGGGGTTCAGTGGCAATAGCTACACAAGTGGTATGTTTAGCTCCACTTGTGTTTGTGCAGATGAAATTCCAAGAAAGTTGATGTGTTGTGAGTTATGTTTCAGAAGTTGTTGCAAAACCATTTTGCAGGACGAAAACTGAAATGGTGAAGTGAGTAAAATTAAAGTGATGCATTCTAGAAAGGAAAAGGGAAACATTTCTATTATGTTCCACCTCGTATTAATCAGACTGGTCGCTATAAAGGTTCAGTAAATTGCTGTTACCTATAGAGTTGTTGCGTATTCACTCAATCATTTCTAAGCGAATATAAATAGACTACTCAATCACTTTTAAGCGATTCTAAATAGGCTATGTTCAAAAGTCATTAAGAAAAGTCTTAAATGAGCTGAAATCTAACATCTTAACCTATATGATATGATAGTAGACCGATACAGCAAGGAAATTAAGTGAAGTATCTATATCGATAATATATTCCAAATCATTCCTATTGTATCGTTGATGAGTATATTATTCTATTAATCAGCTCATATAATCTTCTGATTCTAACATTTTCGTGTTATTAAAACACTTCAGACTGGTAACTAATTTCATTGTGAAAACTGTTTCATTTACAGGTACAACAATACTTAGCGCAATTAATTCTTCAGTTGATAAAGACACAGAAGTTATCTACTCCGATAACCCTGACAGTGACTACGTCAAATCCCACAACTTCAATTATGCTGTCGTCATTGTTGGGGAGCACCCTTACACAGAGACTGCAGGGGATAGCCAAACTCTCACAATGGCTGATCCTGGACCTGATGTTATAAAAAATGTCTGTGGGGCCGTCAAATGTGTTGTTATCATCATATCCGGTCGACCAGTTGTTATTGAACCGTACATTTCAGGAATTGATGCACTTGTGGCAGCCTGGTTACCTGGTAGCGAAGGTCGAGGTGTGACTGATGTTATCTTTGGAGACTACAGTTTTACGGGAAAACTTTCTAGGACTTGGTTCAGAACTGTAGATCAGCTCCCAATGAATGTAGGGGATTCACACTATGATCCACTTTTCCCCTTTGGATTTGGACTCACAACTAAAACAATAGTGTCCAGGTAAAATTTCAAATTTATTTTTATGCACAAATTTAAATTGGTGTTACATACAGATATGCATATATAGAACATTATATTTTATGGTACTGCTGACTAAGAAATACATTTCTGATATGTCATAATTTCTAATTGTATGCCAAGTCCTGTGGAAGAAAAATGTTATACTTAGTCCCTGCCTTTAATCTTCTTTCACTGCATTAATAAGGTAAATGTTGGTCTATGTAGATCAATATCAGCTGGTGTCGATGGAAGGCCTTATGTACCCGTCTTCATGATTTTTGTATTTATTGGTTTGTATTTTCAAGGTAAACTTTTATCTTGATAACTGGATTAGCTATAAGATAGTTGAGCTAGATGAAAGAATCCCTCCCATTTTTCTGAACTTTATTTAGTGTGTATTGTTCCGCCTTCTGAATAATGCAGAATCATTTTCCATCCTTCCCTAAACAATTTGAGATTAGATGCTATTAAATTGATCTCTGTTTTGAAAATATTTTATGATATGTTAAAGAAATAATTACCACAATTCAAGGATCCACACAAAATCTGTATATAGACAATTCTAGATAACAATCTAAAGCTAGTTTAGAAAATCTTCATTGAATTCAATGCTTCAATTTTTATTTTGTAGATGAAATGATGATTACATATTTGTCTTTCACTTTTCCTTATTAATATGTGTAAATTGATTTTTATTTATTTCATTTCTTCTGATTTTTTTTCCCCACCCATAAAAAGTTAAGAAGATGAAGTTGTCAAGGCCACAAGCATGTCTCAACCTCAAAACTGTTACAAGAAAGGTTTCTTCTTTTCTGTTACATTATTTTCAAAATAAGATGCCACCAACAGTCACACTAGAAAATCAAGTATAGACAATATAGCAGGTGGCCTTGGACATTAACAAATGACCTTCTGGACTGCCACTCTAACCTCTCTGTTACTCAAGATTCTTTTAACAAATTTGAAGGCCTTACTTTCTAAAATTTTACATTATTTCAGATTTCTTAATAGCTTGGAGAACTAGTTTCAAAATATTTTCTATACAAATTTCAATATTTTATTATATTTGTTGGTTTTCTAGTAGATTTTACTTAATTTCTTCTCCATTTTATCGGTACAATTTTATTGGAGTGTTGTTTCATTGTCTCAACACTGCATTTTATACTGTTAAGCTGATCTTGAATGTGCAGAACATGTTCCTCTATGCTTTTAACTGATTATCAGGTTTGCTATCTAATAACATATAGTGAAAACTGATAGTTGGCAGAAATCTTGATGGGCTCATAAACTCTTTTGAAGAAACTGGGAATAGATGAACATGTGACATGTTGTTCCGAAAAAAAGGAATGCAAAATCTTAATATGGAAAAAATGCAGAAAGTAGTACTATTTTTCTTTAGATTTGTTGTTGAAGAAATTAATTTACTCAATGCTTGAATTTGGACTAGAGAAATTGTGTTATGTTATGATTCGGGTGGTCGATCTTTTTGGTGTTTCTTTTTGCTGTATCTTGTCTATTCTACTTCTATCCCTCATTAGATTTTGTTCTTTGAGAGTAAAGGTTCTAGGGATAGATGGAGAATTTGGACAAAGGGTGTTGAGTTTAGGGCTTCAAGAGCATATTTGACGAACATTCCTTGCCAAAATTGTATTTTCGTTTTCCTTCTTAATATGTTGTGGAGTTGTACAATTTATTTTGCCAAAAGGTTTAAGACTGGGTTCCTGTCATTTCCTTCTTTGTTCACCATGTTCGTGGATGAAGCCCAAATCTTTATTTTGCATCGGCAGGTAAAGAGCGTATTTTTGTTTGTTTGAGCCAAATTATTATAAAATGAGAATGGAAAATATAGTCGTTATTGGGGCCCACACAAGAGATAAAAAATTTAAATTTAAATGTTGATGTGATGGATAACGGTCATATTTTTCATTTTAATAAGATAATAATGTAGATCAAACAGGGCTTAGTTTGAAATTTAGTAATTTACTAATGATACTTTTTTTGTGGGCATTGGAGGATAACTTTTTGCATTTACATCTTGTTTGATAAAAACTGAGCTAAAGGTTTATCAGCTTTTCAGTTAGTCAAACTTCAATTTTAATCATGCATTTTATGAGACCACAATTTTTATTCACTTTTTAACTATACATTTTATCAACTTTTATCAATAGTTGCTAAATTTTTTATTTATCAAAAACCGTCACACAGCCCCTTAGATACTATTTTGAAATTGTTCTGTTTTTAGATATCGAAGACTAACATGGAAAAAGCACACCGGTGAGAGTAATGCTATGTAGCACCTCTCATGCTTGGCACAATTTTAGGTAGCAATGGACTATTAATTCATTGTTTACCACCTGTTTTGTGAAAATTAAAATTAAAATTTTAATATAAATCAAAGTCAACAATTAATTTGAACTACATATTTTATAAGATTTATTATTTTTTAACCATAAATTTCATCAACTTCTATCAAAATCTGTTAAAAATCTGATTTTAATTTCTTAGGAAGGCATTTTAATCATCGGAATGAATTAGTAGGATCCACTAATACTCAATATTGATTTTCTTTTTATTAGTCTTTAGCACACAATTGGTTGTGTTGTGTTTTCTCAAACTAGAATAGTCTGTTTGATCTCAAAAAAAAGGAAAAATGTAAACTAGTTTAAAGTTACATGTGATATCTTAGAAATATCAAAACCGCACAATCAGTTTTAGAGGTTAATTTTTATTTTATTTTTTAAATAAATTGACCCTTTACAGTCATTTATAAAATATTGCTTATCTAAGAATTTGTCGACTAAAAGTAGGTTAGTGAACTTGCATGTTTGGTCATCAATTAGATTGCTCAATTTAAAATGTCAAAACTTAAATTTTTAATTCTCTTCGACCACTTCATTATCATGAGTGGCCAATACCATACGATTAACAGAATGCATGACCTGACACTTATTTAACGTTAAATCTGGAATAAGATTGTCAAATAAATTGAAAGAGAACCGTACAAAAGCAAATTTAGCCCCTACTTGATGCCTATTCAAATCTAGATATTAATCTAAATTAAAGTCAATAATTAATTTTAATTACATATTTTATAGGCCGTACAACTTTTCAACCACGTATTTCATAAATCTCTACCGAAACCTGTTAAAAATCTTATTTTAATCCCCACGAAATAGAGGTTTAAGATTTCTAACACACTCGTTCGTGTTTTTTTTTTTTTTTTTTTAAATTGTTGGCACCTGCTGTTTTGACATCAAACAAGAGCTAGATCACGTGCTAGTCGGCCACATGGTAGTAGTTGTTAGATGTCGATGGAATATTCAAATTAGAATAAAAATGTAAGTTGGCTGATCGGTTTAATATATATTAAAGTTAAATGGTCAATATGAAATATACTAGTAAGTTGGGTGATCTCAAGTGAAATTTTCCCCAAGGACCTTATTGTTGCACAAGTTAATTTTGAATAAATATCCCATGTCCCGTTAAAAAAAAAAGTCTTATTAATGAAACTAAGATTGACAAATGCATAATGCTATTTATCGACGTCTATTTGATCCCCATTGTTCCACATTATAACGAGAGCAATAGTATATTTTGGGGAATGTGTGGTTAAAAAAAAATGAATTTTTTTGGGAAAATATGAGATTGATAAGAAGAGAGAAAAATAAATTATAATTTAATAAAGAATAATGGGACCAAATGAGAGCTCATTATGATGATGGAATCATGAAACATCAATTATGTAATAATTTATGTAAAATAAAGAGATCCAGCAGTTCAATTTTTATGCGAGAGATGGAAGGAGAGAAAGAAATGTGAGGGATAATGAATGTCACATCACCGATATTTCATCATGATGATGATAAATAATATTACTCTTGACAAATTTATGAAATTAAGATCGACAAGTTATAATAAAAGTTATTAATTTATATATTGTTTAATTTGTCCCCATAGTCCAAGTTAGTGCCCAAAAATTGACGGGTAAATTGTTAAATTGTAGATTCTGAGAGGACCTTTAAGCAAATTCAGAAAAGACTACCGAAGCATTGGCCGGCTCTCCAAGTCCCAACCCTGCAAATGTATAGACAAATACAGTAGATATTGCACAAGATTCCATTATAAATATTACTATTTAGGATTTTACTCTCCCTGGGATCTCTTTCTCTCTCCGGGATCCCTTTCTGTCTCCGTCACCGTAAGCACACTGTTGCTTTTTTTTTTTTAATTGTGTTCTGACCTTTTTTGGCTCAATTCTTGAATTAATTTTCTCGTTTTAGTGTTAAATTACCTTTTTTTGTCTACTGTAACTTTTGTATTTCAGAATTTGTATTTTTTCCATGCTTACTTGTAAATTAAGGGTTTTGTTTTAAGAGCTTATCAAGGTGTACAATGTTAGAATTTTATTTTGGTTACTGTCTTTAATTAGAAGCGGTTTGGATTATAGAATTGGAACAGAAAAGGTGAACATTAGTTGGAGGAAACTAACTGCACGGTTGTTGTTTGGAATACGGAACCCAGTCGATAGGTAATTGAAAAGGATTTATTCATTAAGTTCGTCTCGAATTTAAGTTTTTTACGCTCGTGTTTTGATACAAAAGTAGATTGGCGGACCTTTTGTTTGCCTGAGTTTCAAGGGTCGTTCTGTTGAAAAATATGAATAAGAGTGAAATGCACATGAAAGGATCTCGTATTACATGCTCGCATTTTGTGATTTCACAGGGTTTTACATTCAACGGAGCATAAAGACTGCATTGGCTTATAATAGACTGTGAGCTTGGAATCAGAATTTGAATTGTATTTGTTCAAACTTAAGTTAATTTTGCATTAGGTTCCAATTAAAGATCCTCTCTCTTGATTTCCGTTACAAGGTCCCAATTATAGGTCTCCAAATATTGCGGAGTGAATCCGTGGTTTTATCCTTTTTAATGAAAAAACTACCTCTAGACTCTAGTTTTCAAACCCAAGTCGATTTTGCTTCAGTTTCCAATTGAAGATCAATTTTCTTGATTATTATGTATAACCTTTCTTATCCCAGTGTTTGAGAGGAACCTTTTTTTTTTTGACGTCATTGAGATACATTTTGTCCAATGCAAAACTTAAAAGGACTTGAGAGGTCATTCTATTATTTTCCTTCTCGCTTACTGGGTTAACCAAAGGTTTTGGATGATCCTTGTAAACTGACTGTGCTCCATGATTGCATTGGTGAGTGGTTCTCTTAGAAACCCTTGGAAGTATATTTTAGTGATTTCTTTCTTTTATCCAAGTCGGAAAATGGAATATGGGTTTACGTGATAAGATTCTCTTTTGGAGGAAGGTTGGATTTGCTCATTTCCTAAACTACATATTTTTATTTGCATAAAAATTCACTATAAATTCTGTTGGTTCACTCTATGAAAATATGACAATGAATTGACATTTACAGTTCCAGTGCAACTTGAGGGTAGAGTTAACATTTGTCCTATTTATTGACTATTCTCAAGAATGCTTATTTGAAAAATTCTAAAAATGACAAAAGGTTATATTGTTAGAGATGTTAGATTCATTGCGCTTCTTTTCTTGCAATTTACTCTTTCATTCTCTTGTTGACTTGCCAAACTATCACCTTTCATTTATTCATAAGACTTCTTCAAGAAGCTAATTTAACTGGGTTAAGGGTTACCCCGAGCAAGAGGAGTAGATTGCTCCTTGAAACGCTGATGGGCTTTGGTAAGGACAAGGTTGAGGTTATATGGAAAGTGATTACTTCAACAAATGTTTAGGTGATCTGGACAAAGATATACACTAGATTTTTGAAGCATGAGAGCAGGAAGTTTCAGAGTTATGTGATAGAGCTAAGTGTTTAGCGTCGTCTTTGAAAGGGTGTTCTTTTTTCTTTAATTCTTCTTGGCTGGATAGATATACTGTGTTATTTCTTTGTATTTATTTTCTTGATGTCATAGCATTCTTTATCCTCTTTTTTGGTTGTAATCCCTGTTTATAATAATTAACAGATTTGTGAATCTTATAAGAAAAAGTGCTATTGTTTAAATTAGAGATGAACCTTGATAGAGCAGAGCTTTAATGTAGCCAAGAAGGACTAAATATGGATAAGACTGTTAAATTACGCTGAGAAATTGAAGGATACTGAAATTGTTGGAACAATTGTCATTTCTTTACATAAATATCAGAAGTGAGAATTTGGTGATTCAGTAATATCATTCCTTGTGCTTCCAAATATGATTGAGTCGATCGTCGTAATATGTTATATAATTTCCTCGACTCAGTGGCTTCAAACTAGAAGCAACACCAAGTTCTATATCTGTTTGCCAGTGGGCACATGTTTGCATGTACATGTGTTGGTCTTTGTTATAGGCTACAAGACAGTTAAAAAAAAAAAAAGAACTATCTTAGATATTAGGCATGAGATGTTCCCTATTCACATACCAGCTTTTTGTCTTCAGATTGCAAATTCGTTACCTGTCTCTTTCCTCATGGCACGTGTTTGAACAACTAGATTTTTTCATTCATTTTTTTACAAGAAAAAATGCATCAAGATAAGAAGTTTATTTATAAATATTGGATAAGTATTTTGTACTCATCTGTGCTGCAGAACTTATTTTTATTCAATTTGTACTTCTCAGTACAGACATTATGGCTGAATTTGATCCTAGTTTTAATGAAAGTGAACGAGCACATGAATATGAACTGAAAATTCAACATGAACAAGAACAAGAACAAGAACAAGAACTAGTACAAGAACTAGAACTAGAACAAGAACAAGAACACCCAGATGGAATACCAGAGAACTCGCATCCTGTTGAAAACCAGGATCTCAGAGATGATTCAGATGCTAGAGGCGATGTAAAATGGCCAGGGTGGCCTGGAGAGAGTGTTTTCAGGATTTTGGTGCCTGCACAGAAGGTTGGAAGTATAATTGGACGTAAAGGAGAGTACATAAAGAAAACATGTGAAGAGACAAGAGCTCGGATTAAGATCCTTGATGGTCCTTCAGGAACAAGAGAAAGAGCTGTAAGTTAAATTTGTTCCCTTGATTTGCTTTTTAACTATGAAACTTTTATGCCAGCCTAGCATGATTGATTTAATTAGTGCTCAGTGCCTTTCAGTTGGTATTCTCACTGCTTTTCTTTGAAGGATATTGTTGCAATGTCATTTTCTTGAAGAAAACCAACTTCTAAATTCCAAAAGTACAAGGTTTTACTAGCTCATGCTATGGGTCACTAGAGCCTTACTTGTGATTACTGTCATGTGTTGATTAATAGAACTGGATAAAACTGAGTGCATAATGAATGGAAGTTAAAAATAAACTTGATACTCTAATATATTCAAAACTTACATTTTTCTATGACATATATTCTATTATATAGATATTTATTTCCTTTCTTTTAAATGGGGCTTAAGTCTTTGTTTCATGAGAGGTGAAATGACTTATTGATTTCATTTTCTAGTCAATTGACATTTGCCTCTTTCATTACACATATTTTTGGCGTGTTCACTGCTGCTATCTCTGTCTCATCAATTCCCCATCTTCTTTTCTTTTTCATTTTTTTTTTCCAATTCTAGAAACCATGTATATATAAAATCTAGATGAGGTTGGCTAATCTGTCTGTTACATGACAAGATTTTGTGACCTTTTTGCCTGCCCCTGCCCCTTTTTCTTGGTTTTATCAACTAAAATCAAATGATTGCTGCATTAGGCAGGGATTTCCAATTCTCCTAGTTCGATATCACTTGCAGCACTTAGATTTACCAACAACTAACGTTTAAAAAGGCAGAAATGTGTACTGAGGTGTTTTTCCTTTGTGAGGCCTCGAGGGAGATTGACGTGTAAGCCTCACAACAAACCAAAAAATTTATAAAATTAAACATATAATAAACTATAAACAATCTTAAAAATTCTTCATAGTTTCTGCCTTGCAATCTTGTGGAAGTAGAATTTGAGAAACAAAAAATAAATGAAGTCAAAGAGAGAGAGGAGACCAAATGCAGGAAAAAAAGGGAAAAAATAATAAATAGCTGTTGGAGTTCTACAACCTACTGGTTGCCTCCTTGCAATCTTGTGAAAGAAGCTTATTGTGTCTTGGGAGAGTCGTGAGGCATGGAGTAGGGTAGTATTGTTTAGTCAAATGATTGATGGGCCCAATTTTTTGTTTTTGTTTTTATTGTTATTTGAGAACAAGATGAGCCTAATTGAAAAGGTTATTTCAACTAAAAGTCACGTATAAGCTTAGAAAAAGGGGAAAAAATAAAAAAAAGATTCAAATATCATAGCAAACTTGAGGCGCACCCCTCACGCCCCTTGAGACACTGAAGGTGTGCACTTTGACGCGTGCCCTTTTCATACCATGACTACTGATGATCTTCAACTAAATTTGATGATTGCTATGGGAGGGATTTAGGTATTGTGAGACGTATCAAATTATCTCGATTAGCCTAGAGAGAGAGCACAAGATGGACATGATCGTATTACTAACTATTTACATTAAAAACAATAAATAGAATAAGAATCTTACAGTTGAAAAATAAAAATATGAACAAATAATAACTTTCCTAAAACTAAAAATAAGCTTGTAACTTTCCTTCCCCCTTGGAAACACCTTTGTCCTCAAGGGTGGACTTTTATGAAACCATTAGTCTTTTCCTCCATTTCCAATTTATAATTAATGTAATTCTTTGAACTTCTCTTGAAAATACTCTATTGAATTAAATGTATTTTCCATCTCTAATATTGGCACTTTATTAACGAATGACTTGTTGGAATTTCCAAGTTCCAGTTCATGATACTTTGGCCTAGAATTTTTATTACTTTTGAGTTTTGATATTTCAATACACCTTTTTATTTTTTGTTTTTTTTTTTATGTAGAGGAATTTTTATAGCTGCTAATTAGTTTGGTTGTATTAGAGCTGATGTTGCTATCTTGTGGGTAGGTTATGGTATCTGCCAAGGAAGAGCCTAATGCTCCTCTTCCTCCTGCAGTAGATGGTCTCCTCAGGGTTCACAAACGTGTTGTGGACGGGCTGGACGGTGATTCTTCTCTTGCTCCACCAGGTGCAGGAGGAAAAGTTTCAACAAGGCTGCTCGTTCCAGCTGCCCAAGCAGGAAGTTTGATTGGAAGACAAGGCACAACGGTTAAATCCATTCAGGAAGAGTCCAATTGTGTTGTTAGAGTTCTTGGATCAGGTTTTTCTCTTTGCATTGTTTTACCTCTATGAAAATCTGGTGCTTGAATTACAGTTGTATAGCTGGCACTGGCATTACTTCTCTTGCTGAGTTTAACTATTTCCTTTTATCTCTGTATGTCCAAGTTAGTTCATTCGCAATGAGTTGCTTGCTTATTGATTTGTTTCATTGGTTTGCACGATTCTGTATGTGAGTCTTAACTTATTTCATCTTTTGTGGAACTGGTAACATCCCTGTAAATTTGGAAAGAAGCACATCGGAGTGTAAGTTTGTTGGGGAGCCCCTACTTACTTGGTTCTCTTTGCATTGCAGAAGACTTACCTGGTTTTGCTCTTCAAGACGATAGGATTGTAGAGGTACTAGGAGAGCCTGCAGGCATACATAAGGCAATTGAATTAATTGCTACACATCTGAGAAAATTTTTAGTCGATCGCAGCATAATTTCTATAATTGAAATGCAGGTTAGTGTGCCTTCCATATAAAATCCTATTCAGGACAAAATTTCATCAGAGGAATATATTAATTGGACCTAACTGAATGCTATTCTTGTTAGATGCAAATGCCTAATTCCGAGATAGAACACATGCCTCCTGCCCAATCTTGGGGTCCGCCACCTCCAGCTTTTACTCCAAGTGCACCTGGAGGTCCTGGATATGGAGCTAATCATCGTTTCGCCCCACCTCCCAGGCAGTTTGATAATTATTATCCACCCGCTGACATGCCTCCATCAGAAAAACAACCCCATCACGGTATATCTGCCTATGGAAGGGAAGGGCCAATGCCAGTGCATTCTTCATCAAACCAGTCTGCACCATCAGTAATTACTCAGGTAGTTACTGTCCTGATTTTGGTTTATTGACATCTGTTAGGAGAAGTATGTAGTCTCCTGAGCCTTCCTCTTTTTTTTTTTTGGGTTACATTTAGTCAAACCAGCAAACAGACAGAATATTATGTGATAATGCTGTTATCGAAGTTTCAGTAAGAAAAGGGATTTATATGCTGTGAGCTCCATCGGGAATTTTATAGTCTTTTTTCCGGTGGTGCAAAATTATCTCCAGTTTTGTGTTTGATGGAACTTTGTGTTTGATGTCTCCTTTTCAAGACATGATTAAGTCATAAAACGATTGCTATACCCTATTTTATGGGAAAAGTTTGTAGTCAGTACATATTGCCTAGGTCAGCCATGATTTGGTCAAACCCCATCATTACTTTTGACGATAGCTGGCACGCTATTTTTGCTAGATGAGAAAATTCTAGAGCCAAAAGATTTTGTATTAGCTCCCCGTGTTGTGGGGGTTAAGGGCTTGGCTAATGTTGGTTAGTCTTTATGCTTGTGCTAATATATATATATATCTTCCTATATATAAAAAGTGCCTATTTAACGGAATTTGTTGGTTTAACGGAAAAACTAACGGAATTTGTAGTTTTAACGGATTATGTAACGAAATTTCTTGTTTTAAACAGGCAGCTGCACCTCCTTTCAATATAAACATTACATCATTAATTATTTAATTAACCAAAAAAATTACATCTTTATTAATAACAAATTAACTTTTAAACAAAACTATTAAATATAAATTAGGCAAACGTGCATTGCACGTTGCTTGCACCTAGTATATATATGTATATGTATATATATATATTGTTTTTTAAGCTGGTAGAACTCAGATTTTTGTCTTGATACTTTAGCCTTGTTTCAGTCTAGCTAATTGTGTTTTCAGTTGGCTTGCACAATGAAAAGGAAGAAATTATTAATGTACTAAGACATTGCAAGCCCATATAGACATGATCAAATGATGCAACTAAATAAGCAAAATGAAAATGGAGAAGACCAAAAACAAAATCCGAGCACATATTCTATTGTGATTTCGATGAATGATTGGAAGTGGTGATTTTTCAGGTCACACAGCAAATGCAAATTCCGCTCTCTTATGCTGATGCTGTAATTGGCACACAAGGTTCAACAATAAGCTATGTTCGGAGGGTTAGTGGTGCTACTGTTACCATACAGGAAACGAGGGGAGTTCCTGGGGAGATGACGGTTGAGATAAGTGGAACTGCTTCTCAAACTCAAACTGCTCAGCAATTGATCCAGGCAATCTTAATAACCCTGTCTTTCGGATTGCTTATCCAAAGCTGCACATCTTTTTCTCAAATTTCTAGTATGCTTGTGCCCCCGAAAGTTTTTTTATGCATGTGAATTTCCAATCTGGTATATTTTCCACTCTTTGGCACGTGTGCCAAAGATGTTGGGCCATTGAAAACCGATTTATGTCACAAAGTGATGTTTCAGTTACACCTATATCCGCTAAGTAGCAGTTTTTGCTCCTTTTGCTGTGCTGCCATGTCAATAGTCATTGCTTTATTACTTTGCATGGTCAAAATTATATGGACTAATTTAATGATCAAATAAATGTCTTGCAGAATTTCATAGCAGATGCTGCTGCTCCACCTCAGACCCAAAATGTTCCATCGACCGATCCGGGCTATAACCCTTACGCAGCCCACGGTTCAGTATACTCGTCTCCCCCTTCCAATCCTAATCTTGCTGGGCAAACCGGACGATATGGTTCAGTCTATGGTGGCAATTATGGTTATTAAGTTGGGTGATTAATTTAATGTGAGGCTATGAGAATCAATTCTGAATGGATTGATGGACTAGCCGAGTGACAAAACATTAAATATACATCTTGCAGAAGTTAGAATTGATTTGATACAGAGCCAATTGGATACTGTTTTTTCACATTATGAGGTTTTCTGTCAGTAGTAGAAACTATTCTCCATGCACCTCAACTTGTTAATCTTTGCAGTATTAGATCGGATTAGACGATACAAATCTGAATAGTTATTGGTACTTTTTGCGACTGTCCAATTTACTGCTAGTGTTTTTAGCCACAACTTTATTGACGAAGGTGGAGCAAAACGCACCAACTGATGCTACATTACACAATAACCGAACGCCAATCAATCCGCTCTTCAAAGGACATTATATCAAACCAGTGGTGTGGACATTGTGACGCAGATTGCATTGAAATTTCATGATTGCTCCTAATTTTCGCACTTTAGTTATTCTCTGAGCAGATTAACTGTTCGTGAGTCAAAACGAGTTTAAATGAAAGATATTAAGCCACTGTTTGGTTTTGTTAAAAATAGATTTTTAGTAGATTTTGATAAAATTTGAAAAGTTGTATCCCATAAATTTTGTGACTTAAGTACTCCGCAATTTTTCTTTTCAATTCCTTGTTCTATATTTTGTGCATCCCCTCCTTGCCGAAGAAATGGGAAATAGTAATAATGAATAAAAAGGACAAAAAAAAGGAAAAATCTCCACAAAAAATTCTAGGAATTATTGTGGGAGAAAGAAAACCATGAGATTAACAATTCATTATTGCATTATCAAGCCAAATACAGTATGCAACTTATCATAAGTTTAACGGCATATGTCATGGACAAGAATTACACTACTGGCTTGCAACCTCAACTAACGTGAAATCTGTATATAATAAATAGATCTAAGAAAATCTCTGCACAGACGAAGGGATTACTCTTCCTTTATTACACAGAATATATTGCCAGAATGAGGACTCATATGGGTGCTGCACATGTTGTCCTGAAATGGCCTGTCTGATTGCAACGACTACAATGTACAACTCTCTTCACACGACCATGATCTTCTGCTCTAACTCGCTTCTTCCTTGGTCGGCCAGGTGGACGCAGAGATTTAGGTGGATTAACAACAATATTGGCAGCTTTGCTAGCATTTGGATCTCCCTCAGCTAACTCCTTCCATAATGTTTTATCTGGAATCGGGTGTATGGTTTGTGAGTATGTCTTCCGATACGTAGCAACAGTAAAACAGCTCTCAGTGAATCGATGGACATTCTGCCTGCACGAAAGTAGAGCTGCCACTGCATGTGCACAGGGTAAACCGTACAACTGCCATCCCCGACAGAGACAGCAGCGATTTCGGATATCAACAATGTTTGTCCCCTCGTGAGATATTACCTCAAATTCAGCTTCATTGGCACGAAGAACCTGGTAGGTACGTGCGCGCTCAAGAGCCTCCGTGACACGCCTCTCAGCAGTAGGCACAAGAATAGAAGTCCACTGTATGCTAGTCTCACGACGTTCATTGAACCAAGTCATGAGCTGCCTTCTAATGCATTCCATCATCTGAATTATTGGAAGACCCGAGGCTTCTAAAATCCAAGCATTCAGAGATTCTACTATATTGGCCGTCAAATGTCCAAACCTTGTCCCCTCAAAATAGGCAGTAGCCCATAAACGAGGGGGGATTCGCCTAAGCCAGTATGCAGCATCTTGAGATATCTCTTCAATCTCTATGACTTTTGCTTCAAAATCCATGACAGTAAGAGCATGGGCAGCATCCCACAAAAGGTTGACAAGCATTGTATTGTTGAATTCCTTACGAAAGCTTTCACTCAAATGACGCATGCAAAAGCCATGAAAAGCAGTGGGAAAATTTGCTTCAACACCATCTACGATGCCATTCTGCCTGTCTGACAGAATTGTAAGCCTTGGCATGTTCTCTGTATTGACCTCAAGCAGGTTACGAAGTTCAGAGAGAAACCACATCCAGTTCTCGTCATTCTCCTCATCGACAACACCAAAGGCCAAAGGAAACAGACCACCATCCCCATCAAATCCAGTAGCCAGAAGTAAAGTTCCAAGATATTTGCTCTTCAAGAATGTCCTATCAAGCCCAAGTAGTGGACGACAAGCATTCAGAAAACCATAGATGGATGCCTGGAATGAAATAAAAAGACGCTGGAAGCAGTTGTCATTCGGATTACCATAAACAGAGGCAATACTTCCTGGGTTTGTCCGTTTTACTTGCTCACAGTATTGTGGGAGGAGACGATAATCTTCTTCGAAGGATCCCCGCATAGCAGCCATAATACGTTCCTTTCCACGCCAGGCTTGCTTGTATGACAAAGCAATACCATGAACTCGATGAATTTCCTCCAAGATCTCTTTAGGCTTGCAATTGGGGTTTTCAAGAAGCCGTTGCTCTACAGAATTGGCAACCCACTGAACTGAGGCTTGCTGATGGCCAAGATGAGCGATTCCACCACATGTATGGTTGTCATTGATGGTCCTGATTGTGAAAGTGGGCATACCGGGAAGCTTCGCAGCGTGAATGCGCCAGGGGCATCCCTCATTGGCACATTTAGCAGTAAAGCGAGTTTTATCCGATTTTATGGTTTGCATTTCAAAGTGAAGGGCAATAGCAGTGTCCCTCAAAGCCCTTCGACAGGCTTTGACATCAGGAAATTCTTGTCCCACATGAAGCTCGTAATTAGGGTTCACAGCAAGAGTACGTGCCTGAAGAACATGATTGGGAGTAACTACTAGAGGACCCTGCTGAACACTCATATCATGCATCGATTCAATACCCAAGTCCTGCTGGATCACAGCTAATTCCATATTCTCATCAAGGTCCTGGTTCCCAGATACAACCAATTCATTGTGTTCGGACATATCTAACTCATTGCTCTCTGTAGGTAAAGGCGCATCATGGACATCATCTTCAGGCTTCTGCTCCAACATTACCCCACTCTCGTGTTCATATTCATGATCATCATTGCCCTCACTATCATGGTTCTGCCCCAAACCTGCTTCATGGTCATGAGTTTGGCCCACCTCCAAGCCATGGTTTTGAGCAATAGCCACATTATGATTATGGCTAATCTGGTTCTGACTAAGAGATACACTGTGATTCTGTCCAAACATCAAGTCATGGTTCACCATTTTTCTCTCAAGCTTGAAATAATTGCCTTCATCCACAATGTCATACTATTAAAGCATTAGGAAACAATCATAATTTTATAGTAAAAATCATCAAAGACATAACATATTATGTTAAACATTTTAAGTTAATACGGATATTTGCTTTGTGATTCCAATCAATAAACTTCAATAAACGGCAAGCAATGCATTAGTTGAAACAAATAACATCTTTTTCCTAATGACTTCAATTGCTATGTCAATGTGGAAATTAAGCCCCTGCTTAACAACCATTAAAAAGAGTTTTTTTTTTAGGGGGGAACGAGTTTTGAAATTGTGATTTTTTTTGGAGAGTGTGAAGTTAAAAAGTACAAAATATTTTATTGCGAGAATGTGGTTGAAAATGAGTTCGTAAAAAAAAAAGAGTTATGTAAAACAGGGCTAATATAGAACCGCCATTTTCATGCAAATATTAACAATTTCCAATATACATGACATAGAAGCAAAAAAAGAGTCAAATACTTCTACAACAGAACTCCGCACAACAAACATAACATATTAATTCAAAACAGTTTAAGTGAACACGTATATTTGCTTTGCTTTGCCAATCAATAAAACTCCAGCAAATGGCAAGCAATACATGGATGGAAATCAATATAGAACCACCACGTTCCCATAAACAAACAATTTTCAATGGGCATGAAACAAGTGTCGCGTACTTCTACAACAGTAAACTCCATACAGCAAACATAACATATTAAGTCAAATGTTTTAAGTTAACAACAAAGATATTTACTTCGCTTTGCCAATTCGTTGAGCCAGCAGGCGGCAAGCAATGTATTAGTGGAAACAAATAACATCTTTTTCACAATGACTTTAATTGCTATGCTGGCAAAGAAATCAATATGGAACCACTTTTTCCCTCAACAGTCAAAATTTTAAGTAAACACAAATATTTTCTTTACTTTGCCAACAAATAGAATTCTAACAAAAAGCAAGCAATGGAATAATGGAAGCAAATAACATCTTTTCATACTGACTTTAATGCTGTGTTGGAAATCAATATAGAACCATCAATTTGCCACAGACACAAATGTTGTTCAATACACGAAGTAGAAGCATAACAAGCATCACATACTCCTACAACAGTAACACTCCCCCACAGCAAAGAAAGACAAATTTATAGAAACAACTAGAATCAATTACAATCCACGTGTTTCAGGAAAATCAAGCCCCATCAATAAAAAAAACAATAATCAAGAACCATTTAGCAGTAAGCAAAATACCACCAGAGTTTCAATTCAAAATACAAAGTACAGGGGAAAAAATCAAACTAAAAGAAAAAGAATCAAAATATACTGAAATAATACCTGATAAATGTCAAAAAATGGAAATTCTACTTTTTCGCATAAAGTCCTTGTCAAGAACAGTACTCAGCCCGAACCCAGCTGCGAAAACACTCAAAGTTGAAGAATCTTCGAAAAACACAAAGCGATCTGCCAATAATTCAACTAAAAACGACCTCATCAAGATAAATAAAAAGAAAACACAACCCAATGTTTCTTCATTTGTTTAGAAGAACATATTGCCAAAAGTAACGATAATTTGAAAGTGCGCGGGTAAAAGGTAGAAGAAGCAAAGAGATTTGCAGGGGCAGAAGAGGGCGTTGCGAGGGTTGAGATGGGAATTACAGCCGCTGCTTATGCTCTGAGAGATGGGTATTTAGGTCAAAAGTTATGATGAGTATTGCCTTGGGCTTCTGTTTCTCCATCCTTTTAAATTTACTATATTACCCTTTTCTTTTTTCAGATTTTTTGTATGTAATGGTAATTTGTGTGCATGCATGCATTAAATTATTACTCCAAATTATTTAAATTTGGGTTTTTCTTTTGGGTTTTGGGTTTTTGTAGTATTTCACATTATATCGACCAACTACGAAATGGTTAAGAGTATTGAGTGTCGACACCGTCTTTGAGATGAGGGGTTCAAAAGACACTTGGCTGCAATGACAAAGAATTATACGAAATGACATAAGTAGTCAGATATGACGACTGTTTAGAATTGAACGAATGAAGTTAGACCATGTTTGATTACAACGAATTCCATGTTGACTGTTTGATTGCAACATGAAAATGAAAATCGAATTTCAAGGTACAACTATTTTAAACTGTATTTTCTTTGTTTTCATAGAAA